CCGCGCCCGGCCCGACCCGCGGCTGCTGGGCGACGCGCGCGTGCTGCGCAGCCTGCTGCGCCTGGAGGAGCGCTACGTGCCGCGCGCCTCCTACTTCCAGTGCGTGCAGAAGGAGATCCAGCCGCACATGCGGCGCATGCTGGCCTACTGGATGCTGGAGGTACCGGCCCGGCCCTGCCGGCGCGCGGGCGGGCGTCCCGCGCGGTCCCCTGCCCTTCGCGGCGCGGTCGGCGCCTCCTGTCATTCACGTCCCGGAGCCCCCACCCCGCTTTGGGCCCCCCTTGCCGCGGCTCGGGGGGTGCTGTCGCGGGGTCCGGCGAGGGAGCGCGCGGGGTGGGGGTGGGGGCGGCGCGCGCGGTTCCGGCGGACGGGAAATGAAAAGTGCGGGAGACAGCGGCGCAGCTCCTCCCTTCCCCTTGGGTGTGTGCCGGGGGTGGTGGCCGCGGGTGGGGTCCTGCGCCCCTGCTGCCGCGGGGGACCCCTGTCCCCCGCGCTGGAGGAGGGGAGCCTCTGCCTGGAATCCTCCCAGCGGACGCGTCTCCGGGCCCCCACCCCGGGAGCGGGCAGGAGGCCGCGCAGAGGAAGTGGCCACTTGGGGGGCTCGCATCCTCCGTTGTTGGTCCTTGTCCCTGTAGGGAGCTCATCCTCCCTCACGGCTTCACCCCGTCTCGTTCTCCCACCTCCATCGCGGCTGTTGCTCCCCGAGCCCCGGGCCCGGCCCTGACCGTGCGCCCTCCCCAGGTGTGTGAGGAGCAGCGCTGCGAGGAGGAAGTCTTCCCCCTGGCCATGAACTACCTGGATCGCTACCTGTCCTGTGTCCCCACCCGAAAGGCGCAGTTGCAGCTCCTGGGCGCGGTCTGCATGCTGCTGGCCTCCAAGCTGCGCGAGACCACACCCCTGACCATCGAAAAACTCTGCATCTACACGGACCACGCCGTGTCTCCCCGCCAGATGCGGGTGCGTGGGTAACGCAGCCCCCACCCCCGCGCGCCGGCTGCCTGCTTCGTGGGAAGAGGCAAACTGCGACTTCGCAGGCTTTCTGTTCTCCTGGGAAGGGATTCGGGAAAGCCGAGGTTTTTCTTTCGGGGAGAGAAATGTTCGAGGGACAAGATGGGGCAGTGTGGTGTGGTGGTCAGTGCAGACCTGCAGGCCTGAGCACAGCCCGCTTTTACCTCCGGGGGTGCCGCTCCTTCCTGGTCTTTTCCCCCAGCAGCAGCGAGTCAAGCTGCCCTGTCTACACTCACCAGTACTTTGCCTCTGGGTTTGCACGGCACCCCGAGTTATTTATTGGCAGCAGAAGGGCATAAGCCTGCACACCCCACCGTGTGGGGAGTGGAATGCGTCTCGGGGGAGGGGCTTCCTTCCGAGTATCCTCGGGTGGACTTTGTGATAGAAAAGCTCCCCAGCAGGTTAAAGCCCGGCCCTGATTGCTCTGCGGAAGTGCTGGGGTATTTCTACCCACCCACCGCTCCCCTTTCCCTGCCATGCCCTACAGAGCCCCTTCCTAGCCCTCCCTTCCCTGCCTGCCTTCCGAGAAGCCAAGGAGCCGTAGCAGCTGCTCAGGGCCCCAAGTCTGTCCCTTAGCCTGGCCGGAGCTGGGGAGCACGGCGCCCCCGCCCCCTGCCCGCCCCCTCTGACCGACGGCTTTCATAACCCTGTGGGTAGCTGCCGGAGCTCCTGTGGTTTGGGAAGTGGCTCTTTGGGCCTCTCGCTGGGAACTGGGGCCCGGGTTCCTCCAGGCAGGGCCGGGGAGTCACAGTTCTGCCTGTCCCCCCGGAGGCTGGGGCCGTGTGGGTCTGGGAGAGGGCCGGAGGGGCGCACACGCATCGTTTTCCCAGGGTTGGGGAGAGGAAGGTGGGTTAGCTGGCAGCCGCCTTCACCTTGCTCCGTGGTGGCTGAGCCTGCTCCTGACCCCAGAGGCGGCTGGGGCCCCGGCTCCCAGGGAGGAGGGCAGCAAGCAGGCGCTGTGATTGGCTGGCGGGGATGAGGGTACTGGGGCCCCTGGCTGCAGGGAGTGGAGGAACTGGATTCCTCTTCCTGCCAAGTAGCTCTCAGAGATGGGAGTAGGAGGCCGGAGTTGGGAATCTGGGAGGCCCCGGCTCTGTGATGAATCTGGTAGTTTCTGGCAAGCCTGAAGGTGGAGCTAGTTCCCAGGGCCAGGGAGCAAGTTTTTGGAGGGGTTGGGGCTAGAAGGTGGAAGGAGACTTCCTCTTGGTGACAAGATTGGGGTGGTGGATGTGCCTCTGGGCGGGGGATGGGGGTAGGGTGTTAGAATAGGCCCAGTCCTTGCCGAGCTGAGGGTGGAGACAGATGGTTCCTAGAAGGTCAGCTTGGGAGGGAGGAGGTTAGGGCCCAGGAAAGGCGCGAGGCAGGTCGCCTTGCAGCTGCGCTGTGGTGGCCTCTGCGCCGTCCCTGTCAGGGTGTGTGCTCCACCAAGCGGGGCTGGGCTTCTCAGCCCCACAGGACCCCCCACTTGCCTTCTCTGGGACACGAGGTGCCGTCTCTGCACCCCTGCAAAGTGTTTGGGGAGAGCCCTGGGAGCAGAATTGCGGCTTCTTCGCTCCCTTCTGTCTCTGGGTGCTGGGAGAGGCTTGGGGCTGACACCGAGGTGGGGACGGAGAGAGGGACAGCTGGGGCTAGGGGCCTGGGAGAAGTAGGGTGCGGCCACCATGGCTGCCTCAGTAAGGAGTCAAACCCACCAGTTCCTTCCTGAGATGAAACAATGAAGAAATTCTCGAGTGTGCAACTCGGAACCGGGGCCAGGGCTGGGAAGCCCTGTCGAGTGGGGTGGGGCCCCGCGAGACCTAGCGTTGGAGTTGGCCCGCTGGGGTGAAGTTCCACAAGGCCCAGCGCTGGAGTTGGCCCAGCAGGTGGGGGCAGGGCTTGGCTCTTCAGGGGTTGCCTGGGTGCGCCCTGTCTGGCTTGGCCACGCCTCCCCCTCCCCAAGGTGGTACAGGCGTGGGGTGGGTGCTGTGCCCCAGGACCCAGCCCTGGTGTCCCACCGAGGGGATGTGGGTTGGGTTGGGTAACCTCCCCTTTGAGGAACCTCAGAGTCTCAGTGGCTGTGTCATAAGGAGTGGCCTCATGCCTGCTGTTGCTTCAAGAGGTGGCAGCTGGTCTGGGATGCAGGGCTGGGGAGGGGTGGTTGGCAGTGATGTCTCAAGTCTTCGGGTCTGGAAAATCTTTCTGCTTCATCTCAGAAGGACCTCAAGTCTGTGGTGGTGCTGGTGGCCTCAGGCTCCGAAGGGCTAATTCATGTAGCGCACACAGTGGTGGTACCTAGGGACTGACAGGTGCTCCAGGCACCCAAGTAGCCATTCCACAGCACCAGTCCCTGACCAGCAGCATGCCTGCGTCTTGAGCTTTTGAATTTTGCCAGGCTTCCTTCCTGGCAAGGCTTCTGGCCCAGGCCCCCGCTCTGCTCTCTCCAGCCAGTGATTCTGCCCTTTCTCTCAACCCCAGGAGTGGGAGGTGCTGGTCCTGGGGAAGCTCAAGTGGGACCTGGCGGCTGTGATCGCGCATGATTTCCTGGCCCTGATTCTGCACCGGCTGTCTCTGCCCAGTGACCGGCAGGCCTTGGTCAAAAAGCACGCCCAGACCTTTTTGGCCCTCTGTGCCACAGGTAAGTGCCCTGCACACATTGCCTAACTGGGAGAATCAGAAGACTTGGTAGGGTGAGAACTAGCAAATTCCTGTTGATACTCCTCTCAGAAATCATGAGCGTGCTATCCCGTGAGCCCCTGGTGGCAGGAGAGAAGCTGATCCAGATCCTAGCTGTGTGGGGTCTTGGAGGTGTATTGAGAAGTAACCTCTATGTCCTGGCAGGGGGGCAACCGCTGGGTTTCCACACCAGGACGGTTCAAGCATTCTCTGGCCTCTGGCCAGGACCACCCTGCATCCTGGGAAATGTCCCGTTCACCCAATCCTCTGTGGCTGGGTGGGGTGCCTTCTCAGCACCGTGTGTGTATGGTGCACAAGGCCTCAGTTCCATCCCCAGCACAGCAAGAAACGAAAACCAAACCAAACAGCTGTGGGTCCTCTCTAGAAAAGGCTTTTGTGCTTCCCCCGTGCCATCTCACTGCGCTCACAGTCGAGTCCCCAGTGTGCCCCCTGCCAGCACTTGCTGAGAAGTCGAAGGCCAGGGCGGCTGTGCGCCCCCCACCCCGCAGGCTTCCTTGCTCACGGCTCCCTCTCCTCCTTCCCAAGATTACACCTTCGCGATGTACCCGCCGTCTATGATTGCCACGGGCAGCATCGGGGCTGCAGTGCAGGGCCTGGGCGCTTGCTCCACATCCGGTGATGAGCTCACCGAGCTGCTCGCGGGCATCACGGGCACAGAAGTGGTGAGTGCGGGAGCCCTTTCACCGGGCGGTGCTGTTCCCGGAGCCTCCAGTAGAGGGTGGCAGGCATCCCCACCCCAAGCCCAGCTCCTGGCTTCACACCCTCGGGCCTGAAGCCCTTTATCTCCTGCCCTGGTCTGGAAGGGAGCAGGTGGAGTAAAGTCAGGGTGGAGTAGAGGGCACTGGCCTGAGATGCCCCTTGCTTGCCGAATGTGTGCTGCAGCGGGGGTGGGGGACCCGATGTCAGACGTAGGCCGCTGTCACACCCTCTCGCCACATCCTCTTGCCAATTTCTGAGAAACAAAGCCCCAATTCCTGGGGCTGGGCTGTGGCCTAACCTCCTGGTCTTCCCTGGTGTGGGATGCATCCCTCCCCCGCATCTGCTGCCCATGCCATGGGAGGAGCGGGCCTCACTGTTGCGTTGTCCCCAGGACTGCCTGCGGGCCTGCCAGGAGCAGATTGAAGCTGCACTCAGGGAGAGCCTGCGGGAGGCCTCCCAGACAGCCCCCAGTCCAGCGCCCAAAGCTCCCCGGGGCTCCAGCAGCCAGGGGCCCAGCCAGACCAGCACACCCACAGACGTCACTGCCATCCACCTGTAGCCCCAGACAGGCACCGCCTGGCTGCCTTACGGCGGAGGGTCCCCTGCCACCCCTCCCTGCCTTTGGAACAGTCCTCACCACATCTTTAAGCCTGAGGGGCTGAGTCCTGCCTTTCTTCGTCTGCACTAAGGGCTGCCCAGCCATGCTGGCGTCCAGCTCCTCCTCCTCCATCTGATCAGCTCAGCTCCTTCTCGGCTCTGGCGAGGGCCACGCTGGCCAGATGGGATGGGAGTGCTCGAGTCCCTGCACCAGCATCTTCTAGAGACTGCATCTCTGGCGCTTTCTTAACTGAAATGCCTGTGCCTTCTAAGATGTTGCCCATCCCTGGGCCCACTGCGTTCGGATGTGTGCTGTGGGCACCCTGCTGCACTTGGAGGGGACAGTCTGCTGCTCCTAGAGGGAAGGCCTAGCCTCGGCCAGAGGCGCTCTCCTCGCTTTGCTTCCCGCTCAGCTGCTGCTGTGTGCTTGGCGCTCAAGTGGCCCTGTTAATTTATTATTGCTCAAGTACAACTGTAAGGGGTGCAGGAGCCCTGGCCAGTGCTGCTTCTCTCCCTTCCGCTGCCGGCTACAGGAGCTTTGTGGCCCAGGAGCTGCTATAGCCTGGGACGGGGCCATGCCCTCCTCTCCCTTTGTGCCCTGTCCCTTCCTCCAGCAGGGAGGACATTGGAAGTGGCCAAGCCCCCACTGGAGAGGGAGGCAAGCTCTGTAGACACAGGCCTTTCCTAACCAATGCCACAAGGTTCAGGCTGGTGGCCTGGGACCACCACGCTGCCTTAATAAAGATTCTGGAAGAAAACTGCCTTTGGCTTCTGGGATTTCACGGTGCTGTGGGTAAAAGCCTACTTTAGGAAGTGGAAAGCATGGACTCATTTTTGTAAAGGGCTTTGTGAGCTACACATTCTCTGCCCTGCAGCCAAGCCCCCCCTTGTAAGGATGCGTGTATCCCTAAACATCACCACTGAACAGAACTGTACCACAGACCCCTGAGGCTCAAGAGAGGAGGGGACAAAAGACACGTCTCCATGGGTGTGGCTCAGCGGCAAACCACTTCCCCAGCTCAAGGAAACTTTAGAAATTTGATGAAAGCTAGCATGGCTGGGTGTAGTGGTACACACCTATAATCCCAGCACTTGGGAGGCTGAGGCAGGAGGATCCCTGTGAGTTTTGAGGGATTCACTGCATAGTTCAAGGGCAGCCTGGGCTACACAGTGATTACTGCCTTATTAAAAAAAAAAAATAAAACCAGGGGGCCGGGGATTTAGCTCAGCGGCACAGTGCCTGCCTGGCAAGTGCAAGGCCGTGAGTTTGATTCCCGGTATGGGGGCGCGGGGGACAAAAACAAAACAAAACAAGGGAGTTCTACAAAAGCTAAGGACATCAACACTGTAACGAACCCGGCCTCTGCTGTGGAGCCAACCTCTGAAGGTTACGTGTCATGCAGGGGTGGGAGTGGGTGCTACTGCCAGATGTGGGCGGGTGCCAGAGGGAGCGGGGCACCGCTGTGCTCCAACAAAACACACCTTGCATGGCACCCTGCCACTGAGACGCCCTCAGTCCTCCAGCTACTTGCTGTGGACCCTGAAATTTGAACTTCATGTCATTCTTATCTATCACAAAATACTCCTAACTTGGCTCCCATTTAAAAATAAAAAATACTATTCCTAATTCATTGGTTATGACAGTTATTTGGCCCTAGTCTGCCCACAAGTGGTCTAAAGCTTCACTGGCCAAAAAACTGGAGAACCTGCGCTGACCCAGATCGAACTGCCCCGCCCTTTCCTCTGGGCCTCCTCCCGGGATGAGGGGTGCTCTCTGGTGGTGCCCTTCCCCCACAGCTGCCCCCGTCTGGCATACAAGTGCAGGCCGCCTAGGAGAAGCCTGTAGATTACGGGGTGGGGGCTCCTGAGCAAACTGCGTCAGAACCCACTCCAAGACAGGAGCAAGGCGGCCTGACGCCCGCTGCGGCTGGAGGCAGGAGAAAGACCCCTGTAAACAACACCAAGTACTGAAAGCTTCAATAAATACCTTTGTTCTTACCCACCTTCCAGCACCTGCATGGCAGCCGAGACAAAGCGCTGTGCGAGCCCCAGCCAGGGAGCGACACTGTTGGGTGTGGAGCCGCCATCGGCCCCCGAGTGAGCAGGGAGGAAGCCCCACAATGCAAGGGGCACCCAGCAGCCTCAGTCTTCCCTGCCAAGAACTGGGAGCCACAAATACCCTGTGGCCTGTTACTGTCCCAGTGGAGGTCCTTCGCCATAGAGGTTCAGTGCCATCTCTGGTCACCAAGAGGGGACCAGGGCAGGTGACTGCTGTCCTCACTCCATGGTGACGGGGACATCTTCCACATCTCGGGGGACGGCGCTTTGAAGCTCGCGCCTGATCTCGGGGGACAGCTGTGGGTGGGGCTGCAGCCGGAGCAGTTCCAGGAGGGCCTCCTTCTGGTCCGAGGCCAAGTCGGCTTTGTAGCGCTGGGCCAGCGTCAGCAGGCACTGGTGCCAGAGCACGGGCAGCTCACGCTTCTCCGTCCGGAAGCCCAGGAAGTGGAAGACCAGGGCGTCCAGCACCCGGTAGGGCAGCGCGTACTTCTTATCCAGCAGCAGCCGCAGGAAGATGCTGTTGGCCCCACTGTATTCCATCTCCGCCAGCTTCAGCATGGCGGCGCTGCGGGGAGGGGAGAGGCCAGTGGTGGCGGGGCCCAAGGGAGGGTCTGCCCCCTTCTCTGGGAGTCCCAACTATTGTATTCCCAGGGCCACAAGAGGCAGGGGCCCCTCCTTGCTCTTTCAACCTTACTACAGTCCTTGGACTCCAGTTATCACCTACACATGGCACCCAACACCCCTGCAGGGGCCTGGCCTGAAGACCTTTCAGTGTCCAAGTAGACCAAGCACCTCCCGGTGTCCAACTGCCTTGCCATCTCTGCCCTGTTTCTTCCTCCCTCTGTCCCTCCTTCCCTCCACTGACTCATTCTTTGAACTGCAGGCTGCTTCCTGGGATTGTGGTCTCTAGCGCTTACGTATCAGTGCGTTCCATCCACTCACTGCCTTCCGCCACAAACCCAGGGCTATGTTCTTAGCTCCTCCCCACTCCTGCCCCTCCTCAGGCCCTGGCACCCCCCCCCCCCAGATGCCTAGCGACTGCGCTCTTCCTCTGTGTGCCCAAGGTTACCTGGAGTGCAACACGGGGATGGAGCACTTGGTTATGATGCTGCCCACGATGATGGCTTCACGGAGCGTGCAGGTGCCCGACTCACACAGAGGGATCAGGATCCCTGGGAGGGGCGGAGGACAGGCAGTTTTAGTGGGGTACGAGAGGGATCACAGCAGGAGGCACCCCCACCCACTCAGGGACTGCCCTGGGCCAGCCACTCGCCAAATCAGGTCTGACTCCAGTCCCTGGACGCCCACCTTTGAACCAGGCCCCGGGCTTGAACAGGGCCTTCTTCAGAGCCATGTAGAGGTGGAAGTTGAGGCGTTTGTACTCTGCGATGTCATCGCGCACCCGGGGCAGCAGGACGAGGTTGTAGAAGCGCTGGGCCATGCGTTCCTTCAGGTTGGAGGCGAAGATCCTAATGGGGTGGGAGTTCCCAGGTCACAAGATAGCCCGGCCCTGGGCCTTTAAACATCACCGCACATGGCGTGAGCATGGTAAGATGAGGAACCATCCTTTTGGAGAGGGGTATGTGGCCCAAGGGAACCTCATGCAACCCACAGGTCAGCTTAGAATGGACAGGAAGGCAGCAGGATGTCGAAGTATGTGTACTGTCTGCCTTTCTTTCTTTTTGCAGTGCTGGGAAATCAAACCTAGGTCCTCATACACGCAAGGCAAGTGCTCTACCTTGAGCTATATACCCCTAGTCCAGTCTTTGGGGCAGTCAGCTGGGCGTTGGCCCCCATAATGCCCGAGGAAAAGCTAGGAAAGTAGTGACATGAGGAAGCACAGAGATAGCAAGGGTCAGAGCCCCAGAGTAGTAGCCACGCCAGGGACAGCTGGCAGGCACCTCCTGCCCTGGTCCTCACCTGCAGACTTGACTACCCCATCCTGTTGTGCTACCTGGTGGCTTGGTACATGGCGGCTGCAGTCCAGGACTCAGGCTCCGTGACGTAGAGGATCTGCTCCCAGTTGGAGAGTGCAGGGATGATTTTAAAGGCCTTGGGCAGCTTTCCACTGCGGTACTTAGATAACACCTGGGGTCAGGGGGCAAAGGCACCATCGCCATTAAGACCCATAGCGCTTGCCATGTGCCAAGGCCTCATCAGGGTGCTTTTCCCATGTGATCCTTGTGCCAGCTCTGCGAGGAGGTGCTTTACCACGCTCGCACTTCCACGCCTGGAGTGGGAACTGGAACCCACATCTCTGATGAGAGCCTGCTCTTGGCCACCACGAGCCATTGGAGACACACAGGGACCGTGGACACACAGGGTGCTCCCCCCACCCCCCGTGAGGTGGACCCACTGCAGCCACTCTCCCAGCTCTTACCTCCCGGACCCCTCTGTAGACCCCCAGGACCCGGGGGTCCAGCTGTGGCATAGGAAAGCCTGACACCTCTGACATGACTGTCTCCACCTCAGTCTGCTTCTCGGTCAGTTTCTCCATGATGATGTCGGCCAGGGTGCGCCTGGAGAGGGGAAGGGAGCTGGGGTCACTGTCCCTGAAGCTCCAGAGCCCTCTCACAGTCCCCACGAGCACCAATAAATAGCGGCCTTGCGGGGCATGAGGCCTCAGCCCCCCTCTGTACCACCCGAGACAAATTCCTGCACAGTCAGGATGGAAGTCCTTCCACACCAAAGCTGGCAGGGCAAACTGCTCGGGCTTCCATCCTGGCGCTTCAGTCCCGAAAGACCGTGGGCACGTTTCTCTCCCTGTCTAGGCTGTTTGCTCTGCAGTAGAGCAGGGCTAACAATGGTGCTGCTTCTGTGCATAACCAGAGGATTACTGAACTGCACGCACATACGCTACTCGGAATGGCTAGTACTTAGTAAGTGCAAAACTTCAAACACACCCACTGCGTGCTGGCAAAACGTGAGGACGCTCCTAGCACTAACTCCCAGCCCGACCTCTTTACAGTGTCAACACGTGTCAACACACATCACGATTACCTGCTCAGATTTCAGGCTGCAGTGACCACTAGGGAGAGACTATAATATAAACTTTTCCCCATTTGAATTTTCCAAGTTTGGCATCTGTCTCAGCAATTTAGCCAGATCCAATCTCAAGAAGTAAAAAGTGCTGGTGATGCAGCTCAATGCAAAGGCCATGGATTCAATTCCCAGTGCTACAGGAAAAAAAATCTATGGGATAATCTGTATTGCCACGACCGATACATTCTCCACATTCTCTTCAGCTTCCTTAAACAAAGGATATCAAACATACCCCACCAAGTCCTGATATATAGCCCAGGCTGAGCTCAACTTACAGCCCTGGCTCAGCCTTCTGAGTGCTAGGGTTAGAGTGCTGGGCCACAGGCAGTGGCCACCAGGCACTGTCCCATCTCACAGGTCAGAATTACCATCCCCGGGCTGTGGTCTGATACTGGTGCCTTCAGAGCCTCCTGATGTGTATAAAACTGGGGCGCAGCTTGGTGGGCCAGCACGTGCCTGCATGCACAGGGCCTGGGCTCCATCCCTAGCACCTCAAGCCTTTCAAATTCTAAAGCTCAGGGCCTTTAGGGTCCCTTCCAGTGTGTTCCCAGACCCAAGTGCTGCTCAGCTCTGTGGCTCCAGTCCTGCTTTCTCAAAAGCGCGCCTCAAGTCCCTCTTCTAGCAGCTCGTTCCTTCTTTATTGCTAAGCTGATCAGGATTATCTGTGAAGCAGGAGTCAGGAGGTGCGGCCAGGGACAAGCACATAGACTGAGTCCACACTCTGTGACATTTGCAGCCAACCCTGGGCATCAGTGTGTGTGTGTGTGTGTGTGTGTGTGTGAGAGACATCACACTTTCCCTCTGTGCTCTACAGCTACTGTGGGGATCCCCCCATACCTTTTCATGGTGTCACAGAAATCAGATGCACTGACCCAAACCCTCCCAAAGACCAGAGGACACCAGTGTGTCACTACCACCGCAGGGTCAGAGCAAACTCGTCCAAAGCCCTCACCCTAGATTCTCTGCCGTGGAGCAAAGGCTCTGGAATCTGACCACAAGCAGGTTCCAGAGCTGGCATTTCTTATAGGTGGGAATAAGACGGGCATGGTGCACACAGCTGTAATCCCAGCACTCAGGAGACCAAGGCTGGAGAATCTCCAGTTCAAGGCCAGCCTGGCCTACGTAGCCAAACTCTGTCTCCAAAAATAAAAACAAATAAAAGGCTAGGTGTGGTGGTGTATGCCTATAATCCCAGCAGTTGGGAGACTGAGGCAGGAGGATTGTTTTGAGTTTGAGACCAGCCTGGGCTACAAAGTGAGCTCAAGGCCAGCCTGAACTGCATAGCGAGACCCTGTCTGAAAGAGAGAAAACAAACAAACAAACAAAACACAAAACAAATAAAAAACTGTAACCTGAAGCAACTCCCCATCCTGAGCCCTGAGCCCCTCTGAGATATTTGGCACTGTCTGGAGTCACTTTGGTTATCACAATTAGAGGGAAGGGAGCTACTGGTATTAGAAGGTATGTGCCAGAGATTTCTGCGAAATATCCATGTGTTCAGAGTTACTTAGCCCCAAACGCCGTGAATGCTGAGGTTGAAAGTCCTTTAGGGATGAGAGATCAGTCTAAGGAAACTACACCGTGACCAAAGGCAATGGGATAAGGGGTCTCCCCTGACATGAAGAGGCCCTGTGGCTGTCTCCCTGGGAAGGCCGGCAGCTCTAGAACACATGGATAGAAGGAAAGGAGGTATTTGGAGTTTGGGCCACTTTGGCCGACGTGCTCCCCAACAGTGGCAATATCAGGCCTTCCGAGAGGTATACATTGGGTTTGCCCAGGCACTTGCTTCTCTGTAGTAACTTTCCATCAGGACCTACTCCCCTAAGACCCCAAAGCTACCTGGCAGGAGGGTTCTTGTTCATGAACATTTCAATGGCACGTTCGTCCTCAGGGTCCACAACCACCTCTGCGTGGTGGCTCACCCCTGTCATCTTGGCGGCCTTCTCCAGGGTGGGCCACTCCTCGTCCTCATCATCTGATCCAGCCTGTGGTGCTCCTGGACCTGGGAGAGGGGAGAGCAAGTGGATGAGCATGTAAGGAGTGGGCCAGGGATTCCGAGTCAATCGAACTTTAACCAGCGGCGCAGGACTGGTGTGCTCGGGACAGATACAGATGTATGCAAAGACAAGACGGGGGCGCGCTATCTCCCTGTCCCCAGGGCTTGCAATTGTGCTTAAAAAACAGTGCAACATCTGAAACAATGAGATAGCAAAGTCAGTGAATAATGGCTAACACATCACTCTCAGTGAGGCAGCAAGAACTGCTCTATTTTGTACGTATGTTATTGGTTAACCCTGATAAACAAGAAGGAGCTACTAGTCTTACTCTCAGCTTTAAACAGGCACCCTGGCAGGGAATATAGCTCAGCGGCACAGCGCCTGCCTGGCAAGCACAAGGTCGTGAGTTTGATTCCTGGTAGCAAAAAAACCAAAAAACAAAAAACAAAAAAACCACCCTGAAGTCTAGCAAAGTGATTCCCCTAGGGCAGGCAGTCTGGGTTTAACTGTGTTCTTCACCACTATGTCACCAGCTTGGCAGTGTCCGAAGGGGTCATTTAGGACAGAAGTGGGCTGGGGGTGTAGCTCAGCAGAGCTCATGCTCAGCACGGGTGAGGCCCTGGATTTGGGTCCCGGCACACCTAACAGAAGACGAAGAACACCAGCAATCTGAGGCAGTGTGGTAACTGCTCCCGAATGAGCCCACAGGCACTTCCAGCTTCACTGGTTATCACCTGAACTCATTCTCTTCCACTCCTGGGTCCACCCGCTGCATCCCTGGTTCATCCACCCAGCGCTCAAGCTGGGAAGCAGCCGTACCTTGTCCTCTGCCCCTGCCTTCTACATCCACTCAACTACCAAATCCTATTTGATTCTGCCGTGCAGTGTCTCAAAAACCCTTCACAGCCCTGGCAAAGCCTGCATCAGCACCATCCAGGGTGAGCTTCCAGAAGCACCCGTGCCCTCTGGTCCATCTCCAAACGCTCCAATAGCTTCCCACTGCCAGGAGGCTGGCTGTACATCCTGGCAAGGCTCTGAGATTCAACTCCTACCCTCCTCACCACCGATCATTCATCCATCCATCCTGCAAACACTAAGTACCTGCTCTGTAAGGCACTGCCACAGGCACTATATAGGAATATAAAAAATTCTGCCCTTAGATAGTCTACATTCTTTTTTTGGTCTTTTTGAGACAGGGTCTTGCTATGCAGTTCAGGCCTTGAGCTCACTTTGTAGCCCAGGCTGGTCTCGAACTTGCAACGATCCTCCTGCCTCAGCCTCCCCAGTGCTGGGATCACAGGCGTGCGCCACCATGCACGGCTGATAGTCTACATTCTAATTAGTAGAGACAGACCTAATATCCCAGCCTTTTAGCGTTTATTTCTTCTTTATTATTTTTTGCACAGTGCTGGGGATCAAGCCCAGGAAATAATATTTAGGAGTGCCATGAAAACAATATGGCAGGGAAGTCAGGAGTATGGAGACAGGTAGGGCATTGCAATGTTTAATGGCACAGTCAGGCAGTGTTTTGGTGCCATCCAGGATGGCAACTCTGACCTCTGTCAATAAGGAAAATGGAGAAACAGGTGCCCACATGGCCTCTAAGGAAGGGCTGAAGCTGGGGTCTAGGCCTGCCGAAGTTTTAGATAAGAGATCTCAGGTTTTAATGCTGCACATGGGCAAAATGTTCAACACTCCACCAGCCTTACCTAAAACCTTCAGGAAGCCTTTGGGAACTGTCAACAGAACTACAGAAAAGTCAGTAAAGAGTAATGGATCCCTCAAACAAAAACCAAACTTCTCGGTGGGCGTGGTGGAGCACCTCTGTAATCCCAGAACTCGGGAGGATGAGGCAAGAGGATTGTTGCAAGTTCGAGACCAGCCTGGGCTACAAAGTGAGCTCAAGGCCAGCCTGAGCTGCATAGTGAGACCCTGTCTCAAAAAGACAAAAAACAAAAAAAACCAAAAATACAGCAAAAAACCAAACTTCTCTGCCAATAAAAGATGACTTAAGAGACTGCCTGAACAAAAAACTCTGTTCTTGCTTCTATGACACCTATCCAGAAATAGAAAAATTCTTTCCCTTCAATCCTCTAGATTTTGAGTTTTGACCTGCCTGAGCAGCACGAGATCGCACAGCTGCCCTTGCAGGGACAGCCTCATGATGCTTGGGGAGAGAGGGCTTGAAAAGCTGCTACAGCTGGGCCCCGCTTCACCTATGAGGATGCATTCCCCATGGGAAGGGATCTGTTGCAGCCTCCTTGAAGCATTTCTTCTATCCTGGGTGTTGAATTGCCACTTGCCTGTTATGACGCAGATGTTCAAACTTTTTAGTGCTTTATAGTTTGTGTGTATTTACATAAATAAAACATTCTTGTGTTTAAAAAAAGAATGGCATGGTCAGGGCAAGCCTCTCTGAGGTGAAGAACTGAGGAAGCAAACCTACAGATGTATGGGAACAGATTACCCCAGGCAGAAGGACCAGTCGTGTGAAGACCCTGACTTTCCACATTTAAGGAACACAGAAGCGTACACAGGTAGACTTAGGGCAAGAGGTCACACTGGAAGCAAGTCAAAGGGCACCGTAGATCTCCAGCTGTTGAGCGGACTGCAGAGGTTACAGCACACCAACTGGGAAGCTACTGGAACGATCCAGGTTCAGGATCATGGTAGCTTGAACAGGATGGTGTTCAAAGCAGTGACACGTGGTCTGATGGTGGATAGATTCTGGAGGCAGTCATCAGGATTTCCTCACAGAGCAGATATGGAGTGAGAAAGAGGGGTCCCAGGGTTCTGCCTAGAATAAATGCAAGGTCACCATGGTAACAGACAGGGGAAGACAGGTTTGTGGAAAAGGTCAGGATTTCTGTTTTGACTTGTTACCTTTGGGATAAATAATAGACTTCAAACTGGAGATACTAAACAGGTACCTGAATATACAATGTGCGTTTCATGAAAAGATGAGGTCTGGAATATATAACACAGCAAACAGAATAGAAATGAATAAGACAATGTATCTAAGAGAGCTCCAAGTCTGAATCCTGTGATTATTTTTTTATTGTTTTTTGAGACAGGGTCTTGCTTTGTTTTGTAGTGTAGGTTGGCCTTGGACTCACTACCTAGCCCAGGCTGGCCTCAAACTCCAGGTGAGCCTCCTGCCTCAGCCTCCCCAGTGCTGGGCCTGCTTCCTGTGTTTTTTTGTTTAATTCTTTTTTTTATTTTTTTGGTGTTTTTTTTTTCCGGTAAGGGGAATCGAACTCACGACGTTGTGCTTGCCAGGTAGGCGCTGTGACGCTGAGCTAAATTCCCAGCCCCCTTCCTGCGGTGCTGAATGCCTGTAGCTGCAGCACTTGGGAGCTGAGGGAAGAGGATCGCCTCGGTTTGAGGCCAGCCTGGGCTACGCAGTGAGTTAAAGGCCAACCTGAACTACATATTGAGACACTGTCTCAACTCCCCCGCCCAATTAAAACAGAAACAAAAACAAAAAAAGAGGCCGAGGACAAAAGCAGAGTGAACAAAAAATACTAAGGTCAGGTGACTGTGAGGCAGGTGTGTGACGTCTCAGAAAGCAGTGACACTGTAGCCAAGCAGGTACACTCGACTGTGTCCAACACTGGTTTTAGGACCAATAAGATGAGTTTGGGGGATGAGATCAACACTCCCTCTCTAAAAACACTGAACGTCTTCAATTCATCTCTATCCCTCTTTGCCCCCGAAACAATACTGGTTTTTCTGAATGGAACAGTCCATTTGTCTTTCTCCTGAGCTAGACTTCAGGTCCTAAACCCAGACACATGTCCATCTTGCTGATTTCTGCACCGAAACCACCTAAAGTCCCAGCACACTGCGAAGCGCTATGCAGGCGGGTATTCCATAAACAGTAAACCAACGGACAAAGGCCACAACTCAGCGGGGCCGGCGCTCACTGGGGTGCCCGAACGTTGGAGCGGGCGTGAAAGGCTCTGGCCAGGGCCCGTCTCCCATTATTCGATCACCTTTCCAAGAGTGTAATGTGGACCCCTCTTACGGTCCAAGCGACTCCTTGGGCTGGGCTCCTTTTAAGGCGTCACCTAAACCCAACTCACCGCCCCCTCGCTCGGCCCCGGCCCCGGCCCCGACGCTCACCCAGCCGCGTGGCGCGCTCCCGAGGCTTGGCGGGTCGGTCCCCACTCCCGTGCTCCGCCTCGAGCTCCTCCTGCTGCTGCCGAGCTTGTTGCAGAATCCGCCGGCTCAGCCGGGGGCCCACGTACTCTTCCTCCTCTTCGGTTCCGCGACCCCGTCGCTTTTCCCGGGTCCCTGCCCGCACCGCATCCCCAGCCAGGATCTGCTCGGCCAGGGGTGCATGCTTTTCTTGACTCCCGGCCCCACGGGCCGGCTTGAACTTGGGCATTTTCCTCCTAAAAAGCTGCTGAGAAGGTCCACACGTGGGTGCGCCGAAAAGCCCTGAGTGCGCTTGCGCGGTCAACTCCCAGGGTCTAGAGGCTACGCGGAGTTCACAGCGCCCCCAGCGTTCGGAGGTCGGAAACGTACCAGCGTCTCCCCACCTCTCATGGAGCTCCGGGTCCTGGAACGGGACTCGGGACTCCCAGATAAATTCATTGCCCTTAACGTTGTCTTCTCTACGTGGTGGAATTCCTAGCCCCGCTTTCCAAGCCTCACGAAGCTAAGGTTAGGTACTCAGCCAAATCCCAATTTCCAGAGCAGCAAAGTTGGGGGCGGGGCCTATACCATGGCGTCACTAGATACGTCACCGAGGGAGACACGCCCGTTTCCTGAGCACGCGCCCCCCGGCGCTCTGTTTTGACGTATTTCCGGAGCTCCTACTCTACGGAGTTCTGTGCGGGAGGGCAGGGCTTCAGTGCTTGCGGATTCTCGGAGAACCTTTCGTTTCACTTGTTTGGTAGTGCCACCCTTCGAGCCCAGCGCCATGGGAGTGACTTGGTAGGGCTTCAAGGGCATTTGCAGGGAGGCGCTTGGAATTGTGGCGGGTCTTTGGAGCCTGGAGTAACACCGGGAGGAGATTTGGGACGAAGGTCTGCTGTCTCGCGGGAGTTGAGCAAGCTATTCTCGGGTTGCTTGGATAGAGGGCCGCTGCTGGATAGAGGGCCACCGCGGGCTTTCCCCTTTTTTCCTGCCAGATGTGCTCCTTCCTTTTCGAAGGCGCCAGGGTAGGGATTTTGTCCCAGGATCCAATCATTGCTTAGTATCTTTTTTCCCCTTTTGGTACATCTTCCTGCCCGTAGGACCCTAAGATACTGTCAGGAGTGGGACTTGAGAATATAGCCTCTCCGGACCAAGATGCACCTGCGGACAGGGCCAGAGGGGGTGAGGGGAGATGAACGAGGTATATGCATGAACTGTATTGTAGGCATGCGCCTCCACGCCCGGCTTTTCCTTAAACATCTCTTTAACAAGCAACCACATCCGTGAGAGCCAGTGTCATGGAGTAGTATGCAAGTTTGTAAAGCTTTTCTGTATTTCAGTTTCCCCTTTTGTATTAAGTTTATAAGTAAACAGCACCTTTCATGGGGCTGTTGTAAAGATTCAGTTAATTCACTTAAAGGTCTTAGACCACTGCCTTTCACATATTTGATGTTTGGTGGTTGTTACCTACTACTCTAAGGGCAAGCCACATAATAGGAAGGAAACCTTGGTAGCTTTTTGTTCTGTCATTTTGATTAATTTTTTTTTTTTTTTTTTTGGTACCAGGAATCAAACTCAGGACCTTGCGCTTACCAGACAGGTGCATGTGCCGCTGAGCTATATCCCCGGCTAAATTCTTGTAAATATTGTTGTTTCTCTCTCAAGTTTATGAATCTGAGCCTCCTTTCTGTTTGTTCCTAGGCTATGGAATGGAACTTAATGTGATGGAGATGTTCCATATCAGTACTGCCCAGTGCATTATCTGCCAGCCACCTGTGGCTTGTGGCAGCTGTACTGGACAGCTCAAGTTCAGAGGGTTGATAAAAACATGCTAGGGGGCTGGGGATTTAGCTCAGCGACAAAAGCGCCTGCCTGGCAAGCGCAAGGTCGTGAGTTCGGTTCCCGGTACCGGAGAAAAACCAAAAAAATAAAAAAATAAAAATAAATAAAAATAAAATAAAAACATGCTAGCCCCAAACTGCAACTTCTCCATGATGTAGACAGAACTGAAAGAATTGCAAAGGAATCCCCCCACTTTGGTGTTATTGGGGATTGATCCCAGGGCCTTCACATAGAGCTACATTCCCAGCCTTTTTTAAAGTTATTTTAAAAAATTTGAACAGGGTCTTGCCAAGTTGCCTGGCTGGGCTTGAACTTATGACTCTCCTGTCTCAGCTCCCCATGTTACAGGCATGAGCCACCACACCTGGCTTCCCTTTCTTTTTTTTTGCGGTACTGGGGATCGAACTCATGACCTTGTGCTTGCCAAGCAGACGCTTATGCTACTGAGCTAAGTCCCCAGCCCCCAATTCCCTTTCTTATTATATGACCCTGTGTTACTCAGTCTGAGTGCTCAGACTGTGCCACCTGGAATCTTCACTTGACTATTGTCATACATCCTATGCCTGGGAGGTGCTGGTGTGGTAGGGTGTTCACTGCCTTGAGGGCGGGTAGAGTCCTAAGATCTGTGCTTTGGTTCTCAGAGGGGGTCTCAGGGATGAGGTCACTACTTCCTTGTCCTTAAGGGAAAGGGTCAAGGTATATGTCCCTGCTTAGCTGTCATTCAGGGCACAGGCAAGTGGCTTAGCCGGTGCATGCGTCTCTGGATACCCACAACTTGGTGCTTTTCTTTCCAGTGTGTCCCAGATGCCTGTGGCTGAGGGCAAGAGTGTCCAGCAGACAGTGGAGCTCCTCACCCGGAAACTGGAGATGCTGGGGGCAGAGAAGCAGGGAACGTTTTGTGTGGACTGTGAGACTTACCACACAGCTGCTTCCACTCTTGGCAGTCAAGGTCAGTGAGGTGGGCCTGTGGGGTGGCTGTGGGAATGGCTTTTGCAGACATTCATGTCTATTGACATTTACTCTTTCTGCTAAGAATGGTGTTTTGAACATTTGGCTGAATGTTGGTTTTTGAGGGGGGCTTTGTTTTGATACAGAGTCTTACTGTGTAGCCTAGGCTGGCCTTGGACTCACTGCGATCCTCCTGCTTCAGCCTCCAGAGTGCTGGGATTTCAGGCATGTGTCACACCACACCTGGCTGGCTGGCTGGATATCTAAATTCATTACTTCTTAGTCCTTTATCTCTTAGATTGGGCCTATTGTGGTCTTTTTTGCAGCTGGAACTTTTTAAAACTTTATTGAGACATAATTAAGGTATAAACAGTCATACACATTTAATGCACATGTCTTTTTTTTTTTTTTTTTTTTTTTTTTTTTTTTTGGTCTTTTTGAGACAGATCTCTCTATGCAGTTCAGGCCAGCCTTGAGCTCACTTACATAGCCTAGGCTGGCCTCAAACTTGCAATGATCCTCCTGTCTCAGCCTCTCAAGTGCTGGGATTATAGGCATGTACCACCACACCCAGTGCTAAAATGTTTTATTTTAGGGTTTTTTTTTTTTTGTTTGTTTGTTTGTTTTTTGTAGTAGGAATCAAACTCAGGACCTTGTGCTTGCCAAGCAAGGCGCTGTACTGCTGAGCTATATCCCTGGCCCTAATACACACGTCTTGATGAGTTAGCTCTACACATTATATGACATAGGGACAGATCTATGATGCTGTCAGAGAACCCAGATAATAAGCCCCTCTCATCAAAAAAGTTCTGCAGATTTTCTTTTGTAGAGTTTGAACTCTTAAAGCAGAGTTTTGGAGTGTGGTAGTGCATACCTGTAATCCCAGCACTTGGGAGGCTGAGACAGGAGGATCGACTCAAACTTGAGATCAGCTTGAACCATAATGTCTTTAACAAAAGGCAGTGTTTTTCAAGGAATTGCTGAAAAACTGCATTAAAAACACCTAGGTTACTTCCTAAAGGTGCATCTTTGTGCCACTGCTTACCAGTTACTCCAGATCTCATAATCTATATTTTAAGCTCTCCAGATAGTCCTTATATGCTCTGAAGTTTGAAGACTTGATTTAGGCCCCCAATTTTTTGTTTCATTTCTGTTTTTTGAGACAAGGTCTTGCTATGTAGGTCAGGCTGACCTTGAACTCACTAATTAGCTTTGGCTGGCCTCAGACTTGTCAGTGGTCCTCCTGTCTCAACCTCCCAAGTGCTGGGACTACAGGTGGGTGCCACCCTGCTCCTCTTAGGCCCAAGGATCTTTCTATGTGATTTTTTGAGCTTTAGAGTCTGTAGGTCTTCTGTGTGAAGCCTTCATGTTTCCTACATCTGGCCAGTGTCCTTGGCTACCTCATTGGCACAACCTTGGCTGAAGAGTCAACTTTTGGGTTTTCAGGCTAAAGTGATGAGAGGGGTGTAGATGGTGGCTGTGACAACAAAAAGGGAAAGAGGGCCTCTGCATAGAAGTTAGGGAACCTGGTTCTTTTAGCCTTGGCTCTGCAGTAACATGGCCTAGGATGGTTTCGTAATACAGAGGCTTCATTCATGGAGGCAGATGCCTGGGGGCTGGGCCCCTGCATGCTAACTACAGCAGTAGGCAGGTCCCAACACCTATGTGTGGCTGTTTCCCTTAGCTCTGCTCCTTGCATTTGTCCTGCAGAGAACATTCTCAGGCTCTTCTCGTTCCCTTTAGTCAGCGAGAGGCACAGGGGAAGATGGGCCCACTAGAGGAAGAAGAGCCAGACATTCCCGTCACTCTGCTTTGGGCAGTGCCACCAGCCACGCTGTGTCTCCTGCTTAGTAGCCCTCATTCCTGGCTCGTCTTTTCTTTCTCCTTCCAGCCCTGAGGGTGGAGCGGCTTCCTGTGTTACCTGATCATCCTGCTGGGTTTTTCTATTCTTCCAACCCTGTACGTGTTCCCTATATAAATTGCTTCTACTGAAACTTGCTGGCATAGGCTCTGGTTTTGGACTGTTCTCAATACCATTCTCCTATCTCTAAAATGAAGTGAACTTTACTGTGAAGTAGCCCAGTGTTGTGCTAATTACATGGAAATCACATGCTAATTATGTATGATACACGCAGAATCCTTAGAAGGGAGGTGCCATGCAGTGTTTAATAAATGGCAGCGCAGAGCTGTGCTGTTTCCTCTCTGATGATGTTGCAGTGCTCCCTTTGGTGGGAAGGATGACACAGTCAAGAGATAACGACACTCTGGAGGAAGAAAACACTTTGGAAGCTACAGTCTGGTTGGTGAGACAGAACTCATTCATGACACGCAGTGGGGCCAGGGGAAAGAGAGTAAACATGGGTTCCCCAATTTGCTGCCTGCAGGCTGTGTGCCTTGGGGTGCAGGTCCTTACAGCAGCCACACTGGCATCCCCAGAAGGGGTCCTTAAGGTGCAGATTGCTAGAGCCAGGCCCAGGTTTCTGACTCGAGGGGCAGGGGGCCATCTGGGGTCTGAAGGTCTGGCTTCCAGCCCCAGCTCCCCCTTCCAGTCTCTGAGAAAGGAGTCTTGTCGTTCATATCTATAGGTTTTCTGCAAGGAAAAGCTCCGTATATATTTGACTCGGTAGAGAAACGAAGAAGGCAGAAAATGGAAAGCAAGTTTCCTCTCTCATACATCAGAAGCATTAATGTGCAGGCTGCCCCTAGCCCAAGTGTTTTCTAACCAGTTCCTGCTGCTGTGGGACTTTGGCTTTGTTTTCCTCATCAGTGACAGGGAGATGGTGGCGCTGGTTCTGCTTCACCTGGTATACAATAGGAAAGAGCTTTGTTGTGATTTTTTTTTGGTTTTGTTTTGGGTTTTGGTTTTTTGAGACAGAGTGTCACTATGTAGTTCAGACTGGCCCTTGAACTATGGAGCCCAGGCATAGATTGAGCCCAGGCAAGATTGAACTTGCAGCAATCTTCCTGCTACAGCCTTCTGATTGCTGTGATTACAGGCGTGCACACCACCATGCCTGGCTGTTGCGAATTTTTTAAAAATGTCTATCATAATCGGAAGTGCGTTTTTCATTGAAAAAGTCACCACAGTTGCTGTTAAAGTAGTGCAAGACCATAACACCGCTTGTAGACCCACACAGCACGGAATTACAGGAAGTGGACCTGAGGGCAAAATGACAGAGCAGTTGGAGGGACTTTTTCTTTCTTTTTTTCTTTTTCTTTTTTGGTTTTTGAGACAGAATCTCGCTCTCACGGGTTGTTTTGAACTGGTTCAGGAGAAGGGGAAGGGTGTGGGTTGGAGGAGGGTAGGCAGGAGAGCTGGGCTGCAGGCTGTCTGCAGCGCCTGCGGTGTTCAGGAGGTGGCAGCAGAGCCGAGGTCTGCAGTCCAGGGAAGTCCCACAGCCCCTGCTGGGCCCCAGGCCTGCTGTCCTCTCCCCTTTCCCTTGCCACGTCCTTCTTCCTGCCCAGAATGTCATCCTTCCAGCTCCATTGGCTGAATCCTTTCCTCTCTCCATATTCCCCTGCAAGGCCTGTTTCCCTGCTAACTCTTGCCCACTTTAGTCTCTCCCTAGCCTGTGGTCTTTCCTGCCTTTGAGAAGACTTCTGTCTTTCCAGCTGATCATTTGGTTTATTTTGTGCTCTTTTGATCTTCTTTCAGAACATTTCTCACCTCTGTCCCTCATGAGATTGTCAGCTTCTGTTTTGTTCTGTTTTTGTTTTTCTTCTGGTACCAGGAATCGAACTCACCACCTTGGGCTTGCCAGGCAGGCGCTGTGCCACTGAGCTAAATCCCCAGCCCCAAGAGATTGTCAGCTTCTTAAGTCTAGGGCCTAGTTCTCTCCTGGGATGTCTTTGAGGCCAGCACAGTATGGGGAGATTTAATAACGTACTGAATACTTGGGATTGTGGCAGTCTGTCCATTACCTGTTTTTCGGGGTCAGTACCGGGAATCAAACTCAGAACGTCACACTTGCTGGGCAGGTGCTGCACCACTAGGCTAAATCCCTGGCCCTATCTCTTACGGTTTACTGGAGGAATCTTGCTTTCCATGGCTATAGCCTGCCTTCTTGCAGAAGACCTTCCTTCTTGCATTCATTCCTACAGAGGAATGAATGAATGGAAAACTCGTTTTTAGAAACTGGAGGAGCTCAGCTGCAGCTTGGAACTGGGTCTTCTGAGCCCAGAGCCTGAGTTCTCTCTGCTGTAGCATGCTGGTTTGCCTTCAGATGAGGTCCCAGCTTCCAGGGCCTAGCACACAAGACTTCTCATAGGCTGGCCCTGGCCTGCCTTTCCAGCCTCGTGGTCACATTCTCTGCTTTCTTGCTGCTTCGTGACCTTTTCCCTGATGCCTAAGGGGAAGAGGCCAAGGTAGGAAGCGGTGGACGTGCCAGCTGCCTCGCTGACCTTTTACTTACCGGCTCAGATATGATAATATACTAAAATGTGTGCTAGTGATCATCAGAATTAAGCGTCCTTCTCCAAGCTCCCCACACAGTTTAACAGTGAAGCAGTCATCAACCCTCTCAGAGTTCCGAGTGTGCTTGCACCCCTTCTGGTCCCCGATACCCCTCCGGAAAAGGCCTTCAATTGCAGGATCCCTCCCTCCTCCTCAGACTGCCAAGGCGGCACAGTTTGCCATCTGGCCGCCTTCCCCACCTATGACTGTGGTGGGGTCACCGGCGACAGCTCTGTGACATGTGGGGCTCTGTCCCTGCAGGTCAGCCTGGGAAGCTGATGTACGTGATGCACAACTCTGAGTACCCGCTGAGCTGCTTCGCCCTCTTCGAGAACGGCCCGTGCCTCACCGCTGACACCAACTTCGATGTGCTCATGGTGAAGCTCAAGGGCTTCTTCCAGAGCGCGAAGGCCAGCAAGATCGAGACCCGGGGCACCCGCTACCAGTACTGTGATTTCCTGGTGAAGGTGGGCACAGTCACGATGGGGCCCAGTGCGCGGGGCATCTCCGTGGAGGTAAGACTTTGGGGAGCCCGAGCAGGGTGCACAGGGGGCGGCTCAGAAAAGGGCTCTGAAGATCTGGTCCTAACCAGGGGGTGTGGTGTCCCTGGCTTGTAATCCCTGCACTGGGAGAGGCTGAGGCAGGAGGCTCCAAAGTTTGAATCCCATCTCAGCAATTTAGTGAGACCCTAAATCGAAAGGTGGGGGCTGAGGAATTAGCTCAGTGGTAGAGCCCCCTGATTCAATTCCCAGTACCACAGAAAGAACCAGAAAGGTTCCCCACTCCCGCACAGTTCAGACTGGCCTGGATGGGTGCCTCCCTGTCCCTGGCTCCCACACACCTGTGCTTCCTTTCTAGGATCTTCTGTCTTTCCTTTTTTTTGAGACAGGGTTTTGCTGTGCAATTCAGGCTGGCCTTGAGCTGACTTTGTGGCCCAGGCTGGTCTCGAACTCACAACGAACCTCCTGCCTCAGCCTCCCAAGTGCTGGGATTATAGGCGTGCGCCACCACACCTGGCTGTCCTTTCTTGAATCATTCATTTCATCTCTAGCCCAGGATGGGCAGGGAAAGTGGCTTGCACCAAGTGGAACGTGCGGGAAGCGTGGATTGCTGGAGGAGGATGGAAGGGAGGAGAGTTCGGTGTGGAGGATGGACCACGCCTGCCTGGGAGGACTGGAGGCATGCTTTCTGTGGCTTGTATCCACACAGCCCCTGTTGCCTGCACAGGCTGTGAAGCAGAAACGTGCCTTGCCTCCTGGTGTACTGTCTGCTTTCTCTCATGTGTGAGGGGCAAAGAGGGAGAGTGGCAATGGCTAATTTTGGGGTCAGTGAAAATCCACACCCTGCCACCTGCCCAGCACTGTGTGAACTTTACAAAAGTAGTCTTACAAGGCGGTCTTGAAAAATCATTTAGCATAAGATCAAAGTTGAAACACAAGAGCGATTTCTTTTTTTCCAGTACTGGGGATTGAACCTAGGGCCTTCATCCTGAGCTACTCCCCAGCCCTTTTAACTTTTTAGTTTGAGACAGGGTCTCACTAATTCACTAAATTGCTCAAGCTGGGCTCAAGCTTGCGATCGTCCTGCTTCTGCCTCCCTGTGTGCTGGGATAAGTGAGCACCACCACACCTAGCCCCACACACTTTTTGAAGTTAGTATAAGAAACACCATGAAAGAGGCACAGTGGCTCTGGGAATTCAAGTGGGAAGAGCCCTGCTGCCTGTGGAATTTCAGGGCCGAGCCTTCCTGAGCCCCGTTAGCCTGCGGTGTGCCTGGACTTGCTGAGCCCCTGGGGTCCCCCACCCTCCTCCACAGTTCCAGCTGGTACAATACACAGTCCGTGGTTTCTTCCTTCTGTTGCCTTGTGGCTGCCCTCTAGTGAAAGATTAGGAGAGAGGATGAGAAAACCTATGTGCGTGTCCTTCGGCCTCTGCCACATGGGTGGGAAACTTATTCTTAGGGTCAGAGCCAAGCCTGGGTGGACCTCGAGTGTCGAGCTTGGCCTTGGAGACACATAGGAGTCGTAGCCCACATTTACTTTCCTTTGTTTCTTCCTCATCCTTCCTTTCCTTCCTTCTTCCTTTCCTTTTCTTTCCCTCCCCATTCCCCCTTCCTTCTTTTTTTTTTTTTTTTTTGGTGGTACTGAGGATTGAACTCAGGGCCTTGTGCATGCTAGGCAAGCACTCTACCACTGAGCTACATCCCCGGCACCCCCGCTTCCTTCTCTTTTCGTTGCTTTTCTTTCCTTTTCTTTTCTCTCAGAATTTCCCTGAGCTCCCGGCTGGGGATGTAGCTCAGTGGTAGAGTGCTTGCCTAGCATGCACAAGGCCCTGAGTTCAATCCCCAGCACCAGCCCCCACCAAAAAAAAGAGAATCTCCCCAAGCTCTCCTCAAATGGCTCCCAGGGTGGCTCATTCCTGGGATCTGCCTCTGGGGCTGTGGGCAGGCCCAGCTGCAGCTGAATGTTAGATACGCCAGTGGGAAGGCTGCGGGGTATGTCAGTTGAGTATTTCCCTGGGACCAACACTATGCTAGAAGGGGTATCTTTTCTTTTTTTATTTTGGTGGGTTTTTTTTTTTTCTTCTTTTTTGGTAACAGGAATTGAACTCAGGGCCTCACACCTGCCTAGGTAGGCATTGCACTGCTGAGCTACAGTCCTGGCCCTTTTGGGGTTTTTTGTTTTTGTTTTTGTTTTTGTTTTTTTTGAGGCATAATCTCACTATGTTGTTCAGCCTGGGCTTGAGCTTGCTCATGTAGCCCAGGCTGGCCTCAAACTCACAGGATCCTCTTGCCTCTGCCTCCTAAGTGCAGGGATCATAGGCTTCACTACCATACCTGGCTCCTGGGAGCCGTGTCTTTGGCTCAGGACTGGAGAAGATGGCAAGAAATGCAGGAGAAGCAGCCCTCCTCCTTGGCCCGGCTCACCTTGCCCTGGCTCACCTTGCCCTCTGTCCCCTTGGTCCCAGGTGGAGTACGGCCCCTGTGTGGTGGCTAGTGACTGCTGGAGCCTGCTGCTCGAGTTCCTGCAGAGCTTTCTGGGCAGCCACACACCAGGGGCTCCTGCAGTGTTTGGGAACAGACACGACGCCGTCTATGGCCCAGCAGACACCATGGTCCAGTACATGGAACTCTTCAACAAGATCCGCAAGCAGCAGCAGGTGCCAGTGGCTGGGATTCGGTAGCGACTGGCAGGTTCCAGCTGAGCCACACCAGGGCCCCGGACCTCAGAACCAGAGAGACATGAGAGCGCCTCTCCCTCTGCGTCCCAGCCGTGGCTGTGTTCTGGGCTCTGCACTCCCTCCCCGTTACCCGCAAGCCTCCAGCAGCTGCTCTACCGGATTTGGCCTGTCCTCAAGAACAGTAATTAGGAAGCATGGAGATGCTTGGACCTCTGTTGCTTTAGGGGAAAGGTAGGACAGGGTGTTCCTACCCCAGCTTTGAGGGTTTGCCCCAGGTCCAGGGGCCATGCTGTGTTGAGCCCCTCCTGGAGGTAGAGGGAGGAACAGCTGACAGGGTGGCTCTGTTTTTGTGACCTGTCAGCTGTAGTGATTTGGGGGAACTGACTTTCCAAGGGTGTGGCCTGAGTCCTTTGAGCTCTCTCACATCTCCCTTTGGTTGTGAATTACATGAATACACAGGCTAAGTTATTGTAACAGAATCAAAAGGACATGGCTTTCACTGGGGGGCTGGGGATTTAGCTCAGCGGCAAAGCGCCTGCCTAGCAAGTGCACGGTTGTGAGTTCGATTCCTGGTACCGGAAGAAAAAACAAACAAACAAAAAAAGGACATGGCTTTCACTAGATAGAAGTTTAGCTTCTTTTGTTGACATTTCAGAGGTCAGCAAGAGGCCAAGGTAGATTTAATTCTGCAAGGTCATCAGGTACTCTGTTTTCTTAATCTTACTTAGCCACCCCCAGGATGTTGTCCTTACCTACAAGGCCAGAGTAGACGTTTAAGCTCCACATCCACATTCTGTTAGGGAAACAGAAAAGCTCTCTCCCTTTCCCCTCCCTTCCCTTCTTTCCTTTTCTCTTCTTTCCCTCTTTCTTTTTTTTTTTTTTTTTTTTGACTTTTTGAGACAGGGTCTCACTAGGTACTCCAGGCTAGCCTTGAGCTCACTTTGTAGCCCAGGCTGGTCTTGAACTCGGCAATGATCCTCCTGCCTCAGCCTCTCGAGTGCTGGGATTATAGATGTGCGCCACCACGCCCAGCTCTCTTTCTCTCATGCTAGAGATTGAAGCCAGGGCTTTTCCACTGAACTACATCCCCAGCCCTTTTTAAATTTTTGTATTTTGAGACAGGGTCTTGCTGAACTGTTAGGCTAGGCTTGAGAGTATGATCCTCCTTCCTTAGTCTCCCAGAGTGTGTGCCTGGCTAGGATTTCTTTTTAAAAGGCTATACAACCTAGAGTGCTCAAATCATTGTGGTCACACTTCGGAGGAAGTTATACCCTGGTCTGGGCAGCCATGTGCCCAGTGAAACTTGAGGGGTGCTGTGACTAAAAGATGAAGGATAAGCAGGGTGTGGTGGCGCAGGCTTGTAATCCCAGCACTGGGGAGGCTGAGGCAGGAGGATGGCTGCAAGTTCAAGGCTAGCTTAAAGTATATAGTGAGACCTTGTCTCAACAGCAACAAAAAAGATGAAGGAGACTGTGGGAGCTGAGGCCCAGTGAGTGACCTCTGCTCCGTGGAACTCAACAGACACACCCAGGAATGCATTGGCAGCAGTTTTGCAGTTTTGTTTATTAGCTGGGCTGGGATAAGGACCCAGCCCAGAACTACTAGGAGCTTAGCAGGATTAGTCACAGTGGGGAGTCGGTTCTGCACCCCATGCCTAAGCTCTCTGTAGCTCTCACAGCTCAGGAGAGTGGCTGAGCTTGAGCCCTGCACCAGGTTTTGTGGTTTCCTGGGTTCTTTCTCCTGGTGTCATTGGAGCCTCCAAACGACTCCTTGGCTTCCGATGCTCATGTCCCTCTCTCCTGCTACAGAAATGTCCAGCCAGGCTGACATTTGGGATATACAGAAAGGGTCTTGGCAAAACTTTTTTTGTGTTAGGGGGGTTGTTTGTCTTAAACGGTGTTGGGGATTGAGCCCCAGCCCTTTTGTATATTTAGACAGAACCGAAGTTGTTAAGTTGCCCAGGCTGGGCTTAAATTTTGCCATTCTTCTGCTTCAGCCTTCCAGGCGGCTGGAATTACAATCACACACTACCCCAGCCATTGGAAAACTGTTAATGTACATAGTGTAAGTCATTATCAAGGATACAATCCCTCCTTAAAGGCATCTAAAGAGAAACTGTTTTCAGGGCACGTACCTGCAGTAAGAGGCAAAAAACACACACCCATCCTACCTGTCCCTCCCCCCCTCCCCATCGCAGGACTGGCCATGTTTTCCTTCTGGCTTTGGCAGGAATCTTAATTCACCTTCCTAATTACAGGATCTGTTATCTTCATTTTTTGACCTTTCCTGCTTTTGTTATTTATTTTGTCTTTGCTCTTTAAATCTTGAGGTATGTTTAGATATCATCTGTACACAACAAAATGCACCAATTTTATGTTTTTAGCCTTCTGATTTATATTTGCTCTTGTCCAGGTCTATTTGTTCTTTCCTGTAGGCAGCCTCAAGACTTTTATAGAGCAAGACACTGTATAGGTGGGATTTTGCGAGTAATATGTTCCTACAAATTGAATGTGGGAAATAAGACATTTGATTTACTCACTGTAAGAAGGGGCTTGCTTCCCTGAAGCTGAAAAATAGGCATAGTATAAAAGCCTTTATATTTTGCTTTTTAGGCATAGTCTTTATTTATACTTGTTCGGCATTTTTGACTTTTGCTTGTGTTTAAGCACATACTTGTTTTTTGTTTTGTTTTCTGTTTTAGAGACAAGGTCTTGTTATGAGTTCAGGATGGGCTTGAACTCACTATGTAGCCCAGGCTGGCCTCAGACTTGCTGTGGTCTTATTGCCACAGCCTCCTAAGCACTGGGATTACATGCATGCCCCACTCTTGAGCATGTATTTGGCCAGCTTTGAATCCAATGAGTGGCAGATGAAGTTTAAACTATCATGTGGGTACTTTTGTCTACCCAGTCTGTTGTGTCGATGAAAGGAAATGTACTAAAAGATGCAGTGATGTGTTCCATTTTTTGTATCACGAGTGTGGTTCCACCCGTGGTTGCCAGCTGAACTCATGACTGGTCAGAAGGGCCAGATGCCACCTGTTGTGGGAAAGTCCGGAAGGGATTTTCACGAGTAGTTTAGGGGACAGCTGTCAATGTGTAATTTCTGCAAGTTTAGGTTGAATGAAAATTGGGTGCTATTTGTATAAATTGAAGGGGGAAAAGGCACAGTTATGCCCATTTTACAAATAAAAAATCTTAAACTAAGTGAATGGAAATGCCATATTTTTTTGCTCCTTTTGTACTTCCTTCCCACCCCTCCATCCTCTACCTGGAGCTGCTTCAGCCTCTCCCCGTCTGCGGCCCCCATGGGAGCAGCACTGGAAGCTTCTGCCCATATCGAGTTCGTGGGGATGTTTGCCAGCCTTGATTGTAGGTGCCAAGCAGGCAGCTTGAGCTCCTCTGGTTCTCCCGACCTTGATGAGGAGAGGCCGCGCCTCCCAGAGGGCTCAGAGGGAGTGAGGCTGGAGTCAGAGCCAGACTTCCTTCCCTGCAGGACTCCTGGCTGCCAGCAGGGCCACAGAGTGGCGCCTGGACCGCTGGGGCGCCCAGTGCTGTTAGGGGGAATGTGGGCCACGTTTTATATTAGCACAGGATCTCATTCTAATGAGCCAGTACTTTATTCCTTAGGAGGAGGCTGCTGTCTCACTTTTTAAGTCATTTAAAAGGGATCTCTGGTTTCAGAACAGATGATGCACGGCAACTGCAGAATCAGTCACTGCAAAAGGCAGATACTGAGGGGCCTCTGTAAGGGAGCTTGGTTCCTGCATCCGTTAAAGGCTCCAGCTGTCGCTGTCCCTGTCCCCGTCCATGCCGCCTCCTGCTGGTGGTCCTCAGATACTGTGCACCACCCCATCACATTTCTCTAGCCACCTACTGGTGTCACTGCTCCCAGAAGGATAATTGCTGGAGGCTGACCATGCCTGCCCGCCATCAGAGCTTGCCCCATCCAGGTGTCTTGAGGGTGCAGGGGGAGGCAGGTGGCGACATTTTTTTCTCTCCCAGTCCTCAAGCATGAGATTTGTGGTTGGAAATTCCCGCCTATGCATGTATTCTGGGTGTCAAAATTGGACTTGAAGCACAGGTACAATATGTAGGGAACCAAGGGCTGGACATTTTGAGTCCTTCAGTAGCTACAGAAGCAGGCAGGATGGCTGCCCAGGTCCGCTGTCTCCAAGGCCATGCCGTTACTCCACAGCGCCTTCCCCTCACAGTGGACCGCCCTGTCTGTACGTGGCCACTGTGGGCTGTGGGTCCTAACTGCCTGCAGCACAGCGGACACCACCTGTGTGACAAGTCCAGGCCTCTCCTGGGGTTTGGTGTCTGCCTTGTGAGCCTCACTTCTTAGGGGTGTTCCCCCCACAGGGACTTTCTGCCAGCACGTGAGCACTCCCAAATCAGTCTGATGCTTAAGTCTCCCTGCGCCGTCCAGCTGAGCCCGTTAGCCTTTAGTTGGCCTTATCTAGGGAAATCCTTTGCCTTTGTGTTTAATTCTTTTCTAATTAACTGAGACAAAGAACACACACCCGTCCTACCTGTCCTATACCCCAGATCACAGGACTGGATTGTGCTTAAAGAGAGAATTTGTTAGCTCCTGCTGGAGGATGAGAGGATGGTGATGCTAAAGCAGGTATGTGTGTGTGTGTGTGTGTGTTCAAGCTTCAGATACAAGCCAGGACCTTACACCTGCTAAGCACGTACTCTGCTGCTCAGCTGCACCTCTCCCCCTGCACCAGGGCTTTGGTTTTTTTTAAATGTCCAGGCTGGCCCTGAACTCCTGGTCTCAAGTGATTCTCCTGTGTCAACTTCTCGAGCTGGGACTACAAGCATGCCTCACTGTTCCTGGCAGGATAGCGGTTCTTAACATGCCAGGAGTTTTCATGCTGGAATTTCAAGAAGCCTAAGATGTCCTGAAACCAGGTGGAATTTTGTGTACCTGTGTTGTTTCTTTCTTTTTGGAATAGGATTTATGTTTCCTTAGAATGTCTGAAATATGTGATTAAAAACAGAACCAAACTTCTAAAGGGAAAACAGCTCCTGGAAGGGAAACAGCACGCAGACAGAGTGAAGCATGTTTCAGATAGGACCAGCCAGTACTTTGTGACCAGGGTCTCCCCTGCCATTTGAACCCCACACTGGGCTCCTCGCCGTACAGTCATCCCCTTCACTTTAGTCCTGCAGGCCATTCAGAGAGTGGGAAGGTGCGCTGTTTACGTACTTCCCCTACTGTAAGTTTCTCCTTCCTTTTAGAAATGAGCAGGAGAGAATGTGTGAGGAGCAGGCTTGCTTGCTGTCTGTGTGGCCCCAGAGTTCTGGTCTGCCACACTGTGGGATCTGAAAACTGAGAATAAGTATATAGGCCGGGGGTGGTGGCGCATGCCTGTAATCCCAGCACTTGGGAAGCTGAGGCAGGAGGATTGTTTTGAGTTTAAGACCAGCCTAGGCTACATAAGTGAGCTCAAGGCCAGCCTGAACAGCATAGCGAGACCCTGTCTCAAAAAGACAAAAAAAAAAAGTACATATTTTTGTTTTACAGTATGATGTGGTTGATGAGATAGAAATAGTTCCTCCCCTCTGTGATGAAATTAACTGATAAAAAAACCTTTGGGCGATGGGTGTAGCTCAGTGGTAGAGCTCTTGCCTAGGATGTGCAAGGCCCTGGGCTAAGTCTTCAACACTGCAAAACAAACACAATTTTTTTTGGAATCATCAGGGCAGACTCCTCTAATTCTTTTGCATTTTAATGTTTCATTTCCAACACACCCCTGCCTTGCCATATAGCAAGGGCCAGTTTTTAGGGTTAAGAGTGAATTCTGAACTTTCTGTGGAGGCTTTAGAAAAGCACTGAAGAATCGCATCTGTAGAGCCCAAGTTATCCTGAAGCCAGAATTGAGCACTGGCAATCTTCAGCTGTACAGGAAAGGCAAGGCTGGAGGTGTGGAGGCGACAAGTGTCCGTCTGCAGCGTGCTAGGCGTGAGACTGCTGCCTTAGACGGAGGGCGGGGTGCTCCCGCGTGGTGACTGAAGTCAGGCCCGGGTCTCTGGCTCCCATCTGCACAGTGGGAACACGGATGTCTGCCTGCCTTGTTTCAGAGTGGTTGAGCAGCTGAGAATGGCGAGGAAGAGCACTCTGGGGAAGAGTGCTCTGTCCCTGCCCTGTCTTAACAGTGCTGAGCACAGTGGTGCCTGGCAGGACATTCAGGTGGGAGGTTGCACACTCAGCGCTGGTGGAAGTTAGGCTGTAAACTGCAACACAGAGGTGCTCTTGTGACAGCAGTGTGCAGGGGTCCAGAGGAACTGTTGTAGTGATGTGTTTTTTGCAACCAGATCAACGGCACAGCTGCATGACCATCACTGGGATACGGTAATACGGTTTGTGGCTTGTTTTTTTTTTTTTTGGAAGCAGGGTCTCATTGTGTAGTTCAGGCTGACCTTAAACTCACTGTGTAGCCCAGGCTGGCCTCAAACCCTAGGTAATCCTACCGTCTCTGCCCCCTGAGTGCTGAGATTATAGGCATGCACCACCATGCCTGGCTAGAAATATGTTTTTACTTTTTTTTTTTTTTTTCGGTTTTTCTCCAGTACCAGGAACCGAACTCATGACCTTGCGCTTGCCAGGCAGGCGCTTTTGCCGCTGAGCTAAATCCCCAGCCCCTAGAAATATGTTTTTAATTCCTAGGTATGAGATTCACTGTAAAGGAAAGGGCTGGGCTGCACGAAAAGTAGAAATGCTGTAGCTTTATGTGTGAAATCAGGTCTCTATTTCTCCTCAGCCTGTCAGCCTGAACTGTTTTTGAGTGTTTTTAATCACAGGTATGATTGTGTTAATCAGTTGTAATTTTAAAGAAAGCCCAGTGTGTTCCTGCTTTTTTTTTTTTTTTTTTTTTGGTTTTTCTCCGGTACCGGGAACCGAACTCACGACCTTGCGCTTGCCAGGCAGGCGCTTTTGCCACTGAGCTAAATCCCCAGCCCCTCCTGCTTCTTATTTGCATTTGATGAACTATCTTTTCTTTTTGGGATTGGGCATTGGAGTAGGGCCTTCCTACTGAGCTACATCCCCCAGCCCTATTTATTTATTTACTTATTTATTGAGACAGTCTTGCTATTAGTTTAGACTGGCCTTGAACTCACTATGTAGTACGTGCCGGGCCTCAGACTCTCAGCAATCCTCCTGGCTTAGCCTCCCGAGGGCTGGTATTACAGGCATGCACACACCATTCTTTTGTGTGTGTGTGTCTTTTTGAGACAGGGTCTTGCTATGCAGTTCAGGCTGGCCTTGAGCTCACAACAATCCTCCTACCTCAGCCTCCCAAGTGCTGGGATTACAGGCAGGTGACACTCTGCCTGGCTTTAACTTAACTCTGAGGTTACGATAAAACTATTAATGATCCCAAAACTTTTCAGATTTTTATTACTTAAAATAGCCTCTTTCTATTCCTTTTTTTTTTTCCCGGTACTGGGAATCAAACTCACGACCTTGCGCTTCCTCTATTCTTTCTTCTGACAATTTTGAACGTTTTTATCTCAGGACCCCTTGACATTCTTAAATAGTAAGGAGAACCTCAAAAAGCTGTGTTCCTGTAGGTTATATCTATTGATGTTTACTTTATTAACACTTAAGAAAACTAGAAGTTATTAATTTGCCAGGCATGGGGACAAGCCCTTGTAATCCCAGCACTCTGGGAGGCTGAGGCAGGATGATTACAAATTTGAGTCCAGGCTGTTCAATTTAGCGATTTAGTGTGACTCTGTCTCAAAATAACAAGGGCTGGGAGGGAACGTTGCTTAGTTCGAAGGGCCTGGGTTCAATGCTTAGTACTATAAATAAATACAATTGCGTGGCAAGCCTGAGGTCATGAGTTCAATTCCCTGTACCAAAAACAAAACAAACAAACAAAAACAATAAATGCAATAAATAAATAGCTCATTTAAAGGTGAGAATAAACTCAGCACATGTTAACCTAAATGTTTTCAATGAAAAACATGTTTCAAACAATTTTGCGAAGAGCGTCACTGTTTCATGTTTCTGCAAATCCCTCGAAGGGCTGCATAGTAGATATACGGCTTTTCCTGTCCACTTTTGAATTCAATCTATCGCAATATGTTGTTTTGGTTGGAGAAGTAAAGCTGACCTGTTAGGTCAGAACAGTGTGCCCAGGAGCCCGCGCAGGCCGCTTTCTGTGTCGATTCCCGTCCCCGCGCCCCGGTCCGGGCCACCGCGTCCCGAACCCCTTCAGTCCCGGGTAGCGACCCTCTTCCCGCCCGGGCCACCGGCCCGCGTCAGCCGCGTGGTCGGCCCTGGGAGCCAGCAACTTCTGCAAACCCTGCCTCCGGAAGCCCAGGTTCCCAGGCCGCTGCTGCTTTAGGAAGACAACAAAAAAAGAGACGAGAGTGAGAAAACTGCCGCTTCACAGTGGGCAGAGATGTTGAAAATGAGCCTTCGAGAGTACAGGGGAACTCAACCCAACTCCCGGGCTCCCAGAGGAGTGCGTTGGGAGAAGGGCGGCGAGGGCGGGGAGTCTCTGGCCCTTTAAGGAGGTGGGACAGACCCGAGAGTCTGTACCTTTAAGAGTCTCTTTGTCTGGACACCTTATTTACTCTCACGTGCGTCAACCAAACTTCGGGGATTCCTGGCGCGCCTCTACGCCGCTGCCCCTCAAGTCAGGCTCCAGGGGGCTGCGTGACGATGACGGACCCGAGACGGCGCCCTCGAATCAGACCCGCGAGGAACCGGCTAGGGCCAGGGTCGCAGGCGGGAGCCGCGCGGTTGGCGCAATGCGGGGCTGTGGGCGGGGTCCCGGGGGCGGGCCAATGGGCGGGGGGG